GAGAGAGAGAGAGAGAGAGAGAGAAAGACAGAGGGACAGAGAGATAGAGAGGGGAGGGGGGAGCACGACCACCAGTGGAAGGAGATGATATTTTTTAAAGTAATGTGACGTCATTTTCAGACCCAGATGACGCCAGAGTACGCAGATTAAATTATTTGACTTGCACATGCTCGGTTTTAAGACAAAAAATCCTCACCGAGAGCTCAATGCCAGTAGAACTTCCTTCCGCGTGCACAGGGAAGATGGGATAGCGCGTTCTGACTTGGCCTACGTTTCCACCAATAGACGGGGTGATCACACGTACACCCGAGCCTGCCACGCGGTGCACGTTTCCTTGCTTGTCGAGAACACCTACAGACCCTCTGGCTGTGTCAGCTTTGTCTGCCTCTACCTTCCCGGTCGCGTAGAACTCTTCTGGCGTCCTGGAAAACACAGGGGAGAGAAAACTCACATGGTGGACCGCGAGATTTGGGATGAGTTTTACTCTGTTTTTAACCCTCGGACCCTATTTTCTTTGTGTGTTTGAGTGAAGGGACGCACATAGGAAGATAACGGTCATTGACTGCTAGGGTAAAAAGCAATAAAGACTGACAGAAACAACCGAGGTAAAAAACAGAAATAAGACCTGCTAGTGGCGCTAGAGGATGATATTATATATTTTCTATTCTCACTCTCTTTCTTTTCCTTTCTACTGTAGAACCCGAGAATTCATTGCTCATCTTGCCCCCCCCAACATAATAAATATGTCAACACAGCTGTGAACACATTTTGGATCACCATTGCCCCTAATAGAAATGATAAGGCAAACCATTTTGCAAAACTCATACTTCATCATCATCATCATCATCATCATCATCATCATCATCATCATCATCATCATCATCATCATCATCATCATCATCAATAGCAGCAGCAGCAGCAGCAGCTTTTCTTACTCCGCACCAGAATAATGGGACACCAGCAAGAGCTCCCCATTATTTCTGTCCTGTGCTATACCCTCCACTTCTGTCAAGCTGAATCCCTCCTCCTTTAGGCTGGAATCTAAATTTCCCTTCAAGGTACATGTATTTCAAGCCTTCCCTTTTTCCTCTACCTCAGACTCGGTCGAATAGTAGAATTGAATATAGACACTGGGTACACCAGAGACCCTCCGCAACAGAAGTCTTAGTATTATCACTGATAGGGAAATCTTGACGAATTGTGAAGGGCGTGGCATAATTTTCAGTTTAAGTGTTTTCAAGTTGAACATTTTTGTCGTAATACGAGCCCTTAACATACAAATGAGAACGCAACATGCTTGTAATTTGTGCGTACGTGTGTGGTATTACCAAATAGCGTTGTTATCACTCAAGCCCCTGCATGGGACATCTCCTTCTGCAGCATGATAATCATACAAAAAGGAATATTGATAACGGATTCTCGACAGAATTAACAGCACCTTCCAAAGGCTCCCAAATGTACAAATTTAACCTGTTTCCGATTATCATCAGTAGATTCAGATAAAACGTGAAAACACTTTGTTACGGTAAGTGCCCCTGCTTTGAGAAAGGTTCAAGCAAAATTGTTTTCCATAAAGATTGCCAAGATCTGGAATGCATTACCAAGTACTTTGAGAGAGATCAAATCTTTTGATTCATTCAAATGCCAGCTGAAGTCGTTTCTGTTTTAAAAATTAATAAGATGAATATTTGGAATAATTTTCTTTTGTCAGAACACGACGTTTTATGTTACTGTTGTATGTTGTACTGTGTTGTAAAGCGCTCAGAGCCTGTGTACTTTATTCGGGGTTGAGCGCTATATAAATGTCATTTATTATTATTAAGTCCACAACTTTCATCCTGATGTGTCGTTTGTTACAGTTGGACATGTGTAGTTGTGAAAAAATTGTCAAAGATTAAGGTGACTATAATCCATGCAGCTGATATCAACCTGGACAATTTATCTTTGTCCAACGTTTTGCCTACGAAAGTAGCATGAATATGCATGTAACTTTTTTTTTTTTG